CTCTCTCTCTCTCTCTCTCTCTTTGATGAAAATCAAAACTTTCCCAAAATAGTAAAAAAGGTTTTCGTAAAACACTTTGAATGAGAGACAAAAAGCACATGAAATCATACATAAAAAGATGAAGCGTTTCGTGAAAATAAAGAAAATTATGAAACAAATTTTGTTTTGTATTAATAATTTTATAGTTTATTTCATCAAACATTTTGTTGGCTCTCAAACTAGTTATTGAGAGTATTATCTGTTGGGTTGGCATTGGATTCAATTACAATAACTTTTATTATAATAATAATAACTCGTATAAAATTACAAGCAGTGAGTGAAACAACTTTTTCTCCAAACTATAAGACAATGACCGCTAGAATACACAAAACACTTGCGGTTGGAAACGGAGAAAAGCATTTATTTTTTCACTTTTATTTTTCTGGTCAAACCATGTTTTCCCTCTTTCTCGCAGATCCAGTCTTAGCGTTGATTAGCGTTAGTGTATATCTCTATAATTCAAACCTAATCTTCATATATCTGTTCAATTCATTATTCTCTTCACTCTTTTTCCTCTCTTTGGGGTCAAAATATTTTTGTAAATTTATTAATCATTTGCAATACAAGTAATTTGTGTTGCATTTGATGTTCTCGTCTTCTATACCATCAAAATTTACTCAATTTGTGTCAACAAATCTTTATTTAATCATATTTTTTACGGCACTCTTTGTATAAGTGTTAACCAAATATTTAAATAATAATAATTACATAATTATGTCCTAATCTATTGATCCGTTCTGACAATATATGGCACTAATTATCAACTTGTTCACAAAATTAATTCATAAATAACTTTTCATTTCATTTTATTCAATAATTCAATGTTTATTTAATTAAAAATGTTTGTGTTGTCCAATCTTTAAGATTTAAATATATATAATTTATAACTTATATAATTAGAGATAACATTAACTTATTTCATAATCTCTATAGAATTCATATCATTTGTTCACATAATTGTTTAATATGTAATAGTTTTGTAATAGTGTTATAATTAAAACATTATAATTAATGTTTTGCATAGAGTTTTAGATTATCTGCTTTTACATCGTTTACTAGATTTTAATTGTTTTCTTTTAGATGCAAATGTAATGTAAATGTTATATATATTTGTCTTAAAGTAGTTTAGATGTTGAATACAATCGCAAATTCTGTTATTCTGTTAGTGTGTTATTAAATAGAGTATAATTCGATCGAATCGTTAGTTATTATAATGAAATGTTTATACAATTTATGACTTTTTGTGCATTTAATTAATTTTACCGCATTTACCGATAGATAGGACTGAATGTAATGTTTGAAAGCATTAATGTATTGAGCATTAAATCTATGTTTTTTGGCGTCCATTCACTCGAGTCGACCAAAAAATAATTGAAAACTTTTCTAATAAATAAGTCGATAAATATATGAAAGAATGGACATTAAGTAGAGTCAGCACTAAATACAAAAACATACAATTTTTAGTCTATTGTATCAATTGATGTCTATTTACACACAGTTTGTCATAAAATCGTTTTCTAATATAAAATATAAGACTTGTGTTGGTTTTGAAGTCTAATCAATATTTCACTAAACAAATTACGAGATTCTCTCCATTCTCTTCATTCTTCTTCGGTTTAGCGTCAGTTCCGTTGAAAAACACTGAGTTTTATATCAATTCTTTAGTCGACTTTTGTTTTTTGTATTTTTATTTTCGATGAATGTATGAGTATATCAATTGTTAGTATTGTTTTCACAGTAAAGTTCTTTTGAATTGTATTAAACAAATGATGAGAATTGGAATTAAGTATTTGATAAAACACTGGAAGTATTGGTTATGAGTTTTGGCTGAATTGCAGGCATCACTCTCACAGAAACACATGTGTCCTAAACAGAGACAAAGCAATAGATATGACATTTGAGACAATGACAGAGACGGCGGTGATGTGTGCCATACCGTGTCCATCGGATTCCTCCATACAGACGTGATCCACCATGAACAGATTGATCTGAATCTTTGAAGTACACGTCCGGCGCACCGACTGATAAGCTATTCATTCAATAATATGCAAACATTACTCCCATTTCAATCATATTTGTGTTTAAATTAGTTCACATTATTGTATAAATAATGGAATTTAATCATTAGATTTTAATGTATCCAATTTAATGCATTACACGTTCGCATCAATCGTTGCGAACATTTTCCCAAATGTTAACAAAACAAAAATAATAATTATCTTTTTCTGTGCAAACATTCAATTTCTTAAATAATGAATAATTGATTTCTAATTAAGTGGTTCATTGATTCATAAACAAATGATGAGAATTGGAATTAAGTATTTGATAAAACACTGGAAGTATTGGTTATGAGTTTTGGCTGAATTGCAGGCATCACTCTCACAGAAACACATGTGTCCTAAACAGAGACAAAGCAATAGATATGACATTTGAGACAATGACAGAGACGGCGGTGATGTGTGTCATACCGTGTCCATCGGATTCCTCCATACAGACGTGATCCACCATAAACAGATTGATCTGAATCTTTGAAGTACACGTCCGGCGCACCGACTGATAAGCTATTCATTCAATAATATGCAAACATTACTCCAATTTCAATCATATTTGTGTTCAAATTAGTTCACATTATTGTATAAATAATGGGATTTAATCATTAAATTTTAATGTATCAAATTGAATGCATTACACGTTTGCATCAATCGTTGCGAACATTTTCCCAAATGTTAACAAAACAAAAATAATAATTATCTTTTTCTGTGCAAACATTCAATTTCTTAAATAATGAATAATTGATTTCTAATTAAGTGGTTCATTGATTCATAAGGCATTGCTATATTGGTGTTCACTATATTGTGTTGCCTTTCAATTACAAGGCATAGGAAGGAAAGCAAAAAGAAAATTCATTTTCTCCACTAAATTATATTAAATCTCATTAGTCTTTCAGCGATTCCTTTAGTGAATTAAAACTAATGAGATCTGAAAACAGCTCAGAAGTGATGCTATATTTAATAATACATTTAATAGCATTCAAAAAATAAATATAGAAATTAATTCCCAGCGCTATTATAGCTTGAATTCGCACCGTTTGCACACATTATTAGGCGTGCCGTCACTTATTCACAACAGATATTAATAGTAATCGTATATGAATTATAAGATTTATAATTATCTCAATTTGCAACTAATAAAACATGCATTTAATTAATTCAATCAATTTTGCCGTTCATTTAATTTAATCTATACTTCATTTCAAATCACATGTAAAATAAAGAATTAATTGGTAATTAATTTTGTTGTTAATAGCGATAGCTTTGAATTGAGATAAATTAAATGCACTAATATTTTGAATATAGTTCATAAAAAGTGGTAATAAATTCATATGAATTAGTAGTAAGTGTTAATTAATACAAATATAAACATAAATACTTTACATGCAATGAATGTATTATCAAATGATAATAATTATGGACATTAACTCACGAGTGTCTCTATTCATCACTATTTTAACACAACATCCGTTACATAAAGACAACAGATTTTGGTCGACGGATACGTTGAACGGATCGGCGCATCGATTATCACTCCAAGACTGACATTCATAACACCAAACACGAGATTCTGCCATAGATTTCCATATGTTTTCATTTCATAGCAAATCATATCAAATACAATTAGCAAACAATAATCCACTACTCACTCAGACATTCCTCCTCAGCGTTAGTTCCGGCGATAATTACTGTTAATACCGATAGTAATGCCAGAGCTATAGAATCCATATAAATATAACTCATATTAATTATATATCGCATATCTATTTATAGACTTTTAGGTAGTATTGGATTTATTCACATCACTATTCACTATATAATTATCAATACATTATACAAATATTAATTCAAATATTATAGCATTTAAATTATGCCTAAGAGATGACACAATTATAGAATTATCACTATTATAATAATCATTGCAATTAATGGTCTGTAATATAAATGCCTAAAACTATGTTGAAATCAAAACACATAACAGAATATATATATTCTTGAATTAAGATTTTGGTCGACGGATACGTTGAACGGATCGGCGCATCGATTATCACTCCAAGACTGACATTCATAACACCAAACACGAGATTCTGCCATAGATTTCCATATGTTTTCATTTCATAGCAAATCATTTCAAATACAATTAGCAAACAATAAACCACTACTCACTCAGACATTCCTCCTCAGCGTTAGTTCCGGCGATAATTACTGTTAATACCGATAGTAATGCCAGAGCTATAGAATCCATACAAATATAACTCATATTAATTATATATCGCATATCTATTTATAGACTTTTGGGTAGTATTAGATTTATCCACATTACTATTCACTATATATTTATCAATATATTACACAAATATTAATTCAAATATTATAGCATTGAAATTATGACTAAGAGATGACACAATTATAGAATTATCACTATTATAATAATCATTGCAATTAATGGTCTGTAATATAAATGCCTAAAACTATGTTGAAATCAAAACACATAACAGAATATATATATTCTTGAATTCAATACTAATCATAAAAATGGCATTAAATATAAAAAACCAGAAATTGGTTTGCAATGCATTGAAAATATGTAACAATTAGTGAACATATAATGAGAATGTGGTCTAAATTCTGTCTCTAAAACAGTTGTGCAGTGATATAGAGACGAGTGGTTAAACGCTATGAATGGCTTAATTAAAAATGTGAGTAAAAAATAACATTTTTGCACATTTTGTTTGACGGCATATCTCTTACGGGTTGTTATAAATAGAGGTTAGAAATTAAATGCTGTTATATATCCAAAAATACCTAAACATAACCTCTAAATGTATTCATAAATAAATATCACAGAGAGAGAGAGAGAGAGATGTGTGTAATATATGGT